AGATTTGTGATGCGGCTTTTGAGGCTACAGCCGGGCCTTGTTCTGCAAACATCCCTGTGCCCCATGGGCTAGGGTTTCCTGCCACCCTGTGTGTCTGCACAGTTTTCTTCAGAGGAGTTCCCTTGGGGCGCAGGCCTGTCAGGTGCACTGTGGCTCCTCCTTCCTGACAGGGCCCTGATGGGTCACTTGCCAGGATAACAAACTGAAATCCTGGCCACTGAATGACCCTACTCTCTCCCTTGCTGCCCAAGTGACTTCTGGGCCCAGGTGGTTCTGAGGTCCGTGGTCTCAGACAACAGTTTACACACCCAGTTGTGTTCTTAACGACTCGTCCTGTAGGGGCATCTGGGCCCAGCCTGGAGCCCCTGGAATGACTGGGTTATTTTTCAGTCTTCTGCTGTGGTTAGGTCATGGGTGTGAAGCTTTCTTGTTAGGAGCTTTGAAAGATGAGGCATGAGAAGGGCAGGGGTCCAGCAGGAGAATGCCACTGACCTGGGGATCCGCAGGCATGCGTGGACAGAGCCTCACCAATGAAAATACTGAAATGCGTCCCAGTCTGGGTGGTAAGCAGTCATTGCTCTGAGCTCACCCTGAGTCCCCACCCCATGATCAGAAGCTAAAGGGTTACCACCTGGCATTTTGAACAGCGCCCCTGGAAACATCCTGTAAGAACAGGGCCAGGTGAATTGCTTGGCATTTGAGTTACCGCCTCCTTTCTGATGGCTGCACACTGTCACCCACGCACACAGCAGGCTGGACTCTGCAGGATCTTCTCTGTACAGTCAGAAGCTGAGTCTAAATCCTGGTTCCCAGCAGCCAGGCCCTTTTTTACACGGCACAGTTATTCAGGAAAGTGAATTGATAACGTTATTAAGGCTGCACTTTCCCTCTAAAGAGAAAGAGAAGTGTCAGGACCCAGGGCTCATCCAGGAAGGCCCGGTGGCCTTCTCAGATGAAGGCCTTCCCAGAGAAAGGCCGTGGTGTCTGAAGGGTTTCTGCTGCGGGGCTGTGAGGCCTCTGAGAGAAGACCCAGCATTTGGCAACATTTAACAAGTCTGTGGGCACAACTATGACAGTGGAGGGACAATGTATGCATCTTTAGTCTTCCAAGGTGCTCTGATAGTCAGCAAGGGCCCACATCTACAGCAAAGTCTGTCTCACCAGTCTTTTTTCATATTGATGTAAATATGTATATATAGTACTCAAACTTATTCAAAATGGGATAAGGAAGCAATATGCATAATAAATCCATGTGTTTGCAGCTGGTCCCTCTTCATAGCTGGTCTTTATAACTACATTCTTCCATCACTCACTTCATATTCCCTTTGTCCTCAGCAGGCCCCTCAGCTGGTCGTGGTTCTTTGCCTGACTGGATGACCCAAACTTTCATTCCTTAAGAGTTTGGGTCATTAGTCGTCCTGCCTGGATTGGGTTTTTGTAGTTTTCCATTGACTCTAATCCCAAGGGTTGGTGATAGTAAGAGGTACACTAAGGAATCTTCCGAATCTCAGACATGGACTACCTCCACTGTGGAGCAGCAGACCAGTTTCTACTTGGTCATCAGGATCAATCACTCCAGCCAGCACAAAAATCCTACTTTTTGCCTGTTGATTAAGAGGCACCAGGGGACCAAAGTGGCCGGGGGCAGCCTTTATTTCTGGTTCAATGGAATCAAAGTGTTCCCTAGTTGAAGCCCAACTCTGGACCAACAGAACATAGTCACATGGACATGCAGCCAACATTCTGCTAGTGGACCAATAGGGGCAGCAGAGGTCATGTGAGTGGTGCCGGTCCCATTTCCACCCTCAATTCCTGGACCTGTGAATCCTGGCTCTGGGAAAATCAGTGCCATTTAATGGACACTGTTTTAAGAGCATACACAGCCTCCTGGAGAACATCGCCTCAGCCCTGCAAGCTAGTCCCACCTATGGAACCCACTGTTTTCCAATGTCCATTCTATTGTATTGGGTCAGCTGTTTCAGGAGGAAAGACCAGTGAATTCCATGAGCGTTTGCTCATTGCCACACTTCTTGTGCAATGAGTTCTCTCATCAGAAGAAATGCTGCATGGACCACCACAACAGTGGATAAGGCACCTGAGTCTATGTGTAGCAGTTTTGACAGAAGCATCGCATGCGGGAAAGGCAAACCTGTACCCTGTGTCCATCTGGAAAGAACAAAACACTGCTTCTCCATGGCCAAATTAGTCCAAATTAGCCCTACCACCCAGAGCTGATCATCCTGGGGAACGGTACCTTCTCAAGGACTCTGCCTTGGCCTCTGTGTGCATGGAAATACTCCCACCTTAACTTTAGTTTGCCACTTTTCTCATTCCTGAAAGTCACTTGACCATGTATGTGAGGGTTTGTTTCTGGGCTCTAGACTTTATTCCTCTGGTCTCCATGCCAGTAGTTTTAATTATTGTAGCTTTGTAGTAAGTTTTGAGATTAAGAAGTATGATGCTTCCAGCTTTGGTTTTCAGTTGAAGGCAGCGAGTAACAAATACTTGAGAAGGGTCTATGTCAGACAATATGGAGAAACTTCTAATGACGTAGACTGAAGACCAAACTTAGAAGCGCATCCCTCTCAGAGCCAGGATAATCATGGCCAGACCACAAAGTTTATTTGCAATGCTAAACTTATCATTAGCTCTGGATGCTGTGAACAATTCAAGAACTGTTATTCATTCCATGATGTGAAAGCAAGTGGTGAGCCCGTGAGTACTGACGATAAGGCAGCTGACAAATTTGGAAACTCTAGATAAGCCATAGAGGAAAATTAGAGTAAATATTCAACACGGACTAAGCCTTCCTATTCTGCAAATGAATGTCATCCATAAGGAGGCAATGTCAAGGCCAGATTTCAAGGCTTTTAAGGATAGAACAACAATCTCACTTGGGGGCAATATTACAGGTTACAAATTGAAACCCTTTGTGATCTGGCAGTGAGAACCCCAAGGCCTTCAAGCATATCAGTAAGAACACATTGCCAGTGTATGCCAGGAATAAAAGGTCATGGATGACCCAGCTCCTCTTCCTCAATTACTAATGGCAGCAAAGTGGAGTACTGTTTGAAGAGCATACCTTTCAAGTGTTTGCTTATTGTTGATAATGCTCCCAAATATCCATTTTTAAAATTGATAATCTTCATCCCAATATCAAAGTGGTATTTCTCCCTCCAAACACAATCTCTTTGATCCAACAGGTGGATCAAGGAGTGATAGCAGCTTTTAAGTCCTTTGCCCAGGCTACTGCTGCAACTGGGGAAGACACTGATCCAATTCTGAAAGGGTTACAACATCCATGACTGCATGGACTTGGAGGTGACGTCACTAAGGAGTGTTTGAATGGCATCTGGAAGAAGACACTCAAGAGGTTCATGCATGACTTCAAAGAATTTGCCAAGGATGAGGAGGTTGCAAAAACTGACAAGACTGCAGTTGAGATAGCAAGTTAACTTTAACCTGGGTGTGGATGAGAATGACACCGAGGAGCTCCTGGAGGTGGTTCCTAAGGAACTGACCATGAGAAGTTGTAATCAGAACAGGAACACATGGCTGCAAGAGGCAAGAGAAAACTGCAAAAGACAAAGAACTCCTAAGAAAAATCACAGTGGAGGGTTTAGCAGCTTTTGCAGACCTCAACAGGCTCCTTAAAAAGTTTGAAAACATGGACCCCACCACCAAGAGGTTTTCATTATCAGACAGGAATGCTCATGGTACATTATCTGCTTTCAAGCAAATCTCTGGTGAAAAAACAAACCATGCAAACCAATGTGGACCTATTTCTGAAAAGAATGGCACCTCAAGCCCCGCCCCTGGCAGGTCCTTCAGGAGGGATTCCAGGGAAAGCATAGTTATCATAGGAGATGGCAGCTCCATGCATGTTACTGCCCCCAAAAGGCAGTCCAGTGGGACAGGATGTGGAGGTGGAAGACAGTCATACTGATGATATTGACCCTGTGTAGGCTTAGGCTAGTGTGAGTGTGTGTGCATGTGCATGCGCGCACACGCCTTCGTATAATCGTATAACCACTCTAAGATGTTTGCACAATGATGAAATCACTTAACAATGCACTTTGGAATGTATGCCCATTGTTAAGTGGTGCATGTCTGTAATATGTTAGCATTTCATGAATTAGAAAAGTGATAAAATACTTCTGTAATGGAACAACAGAAACATTCCTTTGAGAAAAAGCTACTCATACTTTAGTCACATATCATCAAGTGTAATTAAAAACATAGTGAAAGAATATGAGAAAGATGCTTATTCTCACATGGAAGGACCGGTCAAGGCAGTGAGTGTACAATGTAGTAGACAGACAAATTCCAGTGACGCTCTTTTTGATGGCACCACTGTAGATGTCATGTGAATCAGGAATACACACTAGCACTGTAAACAGCTTTTGGTGTTTCCTATACAAATTAGGTTTTATATGAATATAATCTATAGAAGAGGGAAATCAGACAATATCCCAAGCAAAACAGTCTGAATCAGTTTGCTGGTGGACACAAGAGGGCTGAAGAAAAATTCAAACTCTGATGGATCTTTGATGTGGATCTTCTGAAAACCTCAGTGGAAATCTATGCCTCTTAAAAGCCAGAAAATGGGCTAGAAGATGGTGTCTTTGAAACTCCTTTGTATCTCTCTCTTCCTGAATGGTGGCTCCAATATCTGACTAATGCCTTTTTTGCTTTTCCTTTCCAAATCTCATGCAAGTGAGGCCACGGGTGAATTCTAAGATGGAACCATAAAGGGGATGGATTCTGGAAAATCTACTTAATAATATTCCTCTAAAGAGGAATATCTCCCACTCTAGATTTTTGTCCTAGTGCAGGTCTCTCTTCTTAAATAAAATTCTAGCATATAAAAGGACAAAAAGTAAAAGTCCAAATGTGAAAATAATAATTTACATGAAACTATATTCTTTCATAAACTCCCATACAAAATAATTATTCCAGCTGTTTATAGGTATGGAAAATGAAGACTCTTATACTTGTCATCCAAAAAAGAAACTTTATCCATAAGAAAGGTAGAATATATATAATAAACTAAGGATTTACAGGAACTGCCACAAGGCCATATGAAAATCCCAACTAATACCACACTGTCAAATTTCAATGGCCTCTTACCACAAACCAAATAAAACATTATAAGGAATTAAACCTAATTGCATATTAGAAATACACTGCATCTCACTCATCAATCTAACAAGCTTCAAAATAAAAACAATTTTTTAACTGATTTAAGAAAAATGCACTATTTAAGTACTATTGCTGAAGATGACTCAAAGAATTATCTCACCTCAATATCCATTTCTTTAAATAATTAATAGAAACCCACATTTTAATGATTTACATTAAAAGAGAAGCTAGATAAATAATATATTTACAAGTTTATTAATAACTTTCATATTGAAAGTTTTCTGGAACATTATACATGAATTTCTATCAAACTTTCTTGTTTTTTATTTGTTTGGTAGGAGTTTTCACATGTAAGGATGTGGGCCAATTTAAGTGTTTCACACACAACTTATATTCAAAAAGTTTTATCTAGAAAGTCCTTTCATGCCTTTGGAAGGAACTGGGATGACTACAGTCTTTCCACATCCTTTACATTTATATGTCTCTCAAGTGTGCACTCTCATGTATTCTTGAACTTATGTGTGAAAAATGAAGGCTTTACCACATTTACATTCATAGAATTTTTCTTCACTGTAAATGCACGTATTTAAAACTCTAGATGAGAACAGAAAGCTCTACCACATGGTTTACACTCATAGTATTTCTGTCTTTTCATGTGTTTATTAAAAAACTGTAACATATGTAGCCTTTGCCACATTGTTTATATTCATAGGATTTCTCTTCTGATTTCTTTCATGTTATCAAAAACTTTGATAATAACTGAGGTTTTTCCAACTTTTTTACATTCATAGGGTTTCTCTCATGAGTTCTTTTGTTTCTAAGGAACTGTAATTGCTGTAGGCTTTACCACTCGGCTTACATTCGCAAGATTTCTCTCATGACCTCTCTCGTGAATTCTAAAGGAAGAGGAATATCTAAAGGACTTACCACACTGTTTACATTCATAGGGTTTCTCTCCGGTGTGCAGTCTCATGTGTACTTTTAAGGTTTGGTGACGAGAGAAGGCTTTCCCACATTCCTTGCATTCGTGAGATTTCCCTAAAGTATGACTTCTTTCATGTTTTTGGAAGGAAAAGGAATATCTAAAGGCTTTACCACATTGTTTGCATTCATAAGGTTTTGCTTCAGTATGAATTCTTTTGTGTGTTCGCAAGGAACCGTAATCTCTATAGGCTTTGCCACATTGCTTACATTCATATGATTTCTCTACAAAATGACTTCTTTCATGTTTTTGGAAGGGAAAGTAATACCTAAAAGCTTTACCACAGTGCTTACATTCATAGGGTTTCTCTCCGGTGTGCAGTCTCAAGTGTATTTTTAAGGTTTGGTTATGGAAGAAAGCTTTCCCACATTCCTTGCATTCATAGGGCTTTTCTCCAGTATGAATTCTTTTGTGTGCTTCTAAGGAACTGTAATGTTTGTAGGCTTTACCACATTGTTTACATTCATAGGGTTTCTCTTCAGTATGACTTCTTTTATGTATTTGGAAGGAAAGATAACACCTGTAGGCTTTCCCACATTCTTTACATTCATAGGGTTTCTCTCCAGTGTGCATTCTCATGTGTATTTTTAAGGTTTGATGACGAGAGAAGGCTTTCCCACATTCCTTGCATTCATAGGGTTTCTCTCCAGTGTGAATTCTTTCATGTGATTGAAAGGAAGAATAATAACTGAAGGCTTTACCACATACTTTACATTCATAAGGTTTCTCTCCAGTGTGAATCCTTTCATGTATCCGAAATGAACTGGGAGACAAGAATGCTTTGTCACATGTCTTACATTTATAAGGTCCATCTCCTGTGTGAGTAATCATGTGTACTCGAAGGCCTGTCAGATCACTAAAGGCCTTCCCACATTCCTTACATTTGTAGGGTTTCTCTCCAGTGTGAGTTCTTTCATGTTTTCGACGAGAACTGGGACAACTGAAGGCTTTACCACACTGCCTACATTCATATGGTTTTTCTCCTGTGTGAGTCCTTTCATGTACTTGATAAGTATGCTGATATCTAAAGACTTTTCCACACTGTTTACATTGATAGGGTTTCTCTCCAGTGTGAGTTCTTTCATGTATTCGCAAATAAGTGGAACAATTAAAAGCTTTCCCACATTCCTTACATTTATAAGGAGATTCGCTAGTGTGCTTTATCATGTGTCTTTGAAATGCTGTATGCCACATGAAAGCTTTCGCACATTCCTTACATTTGTAGGGTTTTTCTCCTGTGTGAATCCTTTTATGTGTTTGAAGGGACGTGCGAGCACAAAACGTTTTCCCACATTCCTTACATTTATAGTTTTTCTCTCCGTTGTTGTTTCTTTCCTGTTTATCAAAAAACTGGCGATAACTAAAAGCTTTACCACATTCCTTAAATTCATATGGCTTCTCTCCATATTTCTGATACTCATATGGTTTATGTTCAGTGTGAAATCTGTAGTGCAGATTAAGGAATGAATGATGCATAAAGACTTTTTCACATGTATTGCATTCATGTGGTTTTACTCCAGTGGTTTTCTTGTTTAGATTCATATTTGGACTAAGGCTAAAGTTTTCTCCACATTGACTACCCTCTTTACTTTGTTCACAGAGTCTCTCTACCCCATGATTTCTGTAAAAAATGAGAAGTACAGTATTAATTATTTCTTTATTAACAATTCTGTATTTATTAGTAGGGCATTTGAACTACATTTTTATTATTTATATCAAAGTGTAGGTTTTCTGCTTTGTCTGATTTGTTTGAAGGTGAATATAACAAATGGTCTACCAGAGGACTTCATCCTTCCTATTACCAAAACCGTAATATTCATATGTAAAATGTAATAGTACTATTTCAAGGTGAGCTATTGTGCAAACACTAAACATTTATGCTATATATAAAAAGGTATTTTTGGTGAAAATTTTCTAATAACTAAATTTGAAGCAAAGGTTTTAGTTTCCTACTTTTTAAATTTCAGAACATGACAGGATTCCAAAATCAGCTACTATTTTCTACTGTGAATATCAATTACCTGAGTTTTCGCCCCTGTTTTTTATATGAATCTTCAATATCATGATCTTCCCATTTTTTTCCTAAAATGCAAAAAAAAAAAAGAAAAGAAAAAGAAAAGGATTCTAAAATATTAGAAATTACAGAAAAATTATTAGGTTCTAAATCCATTTTTAGCTGTGACTATGTCTAATTAATTTAGCAATGTCCTACCATTCCACAAGCCAAATCTTTGAAAAATTGTTGGTAAGCAAGAAACATTTGCTTTCTAATTGACAAAGTAGAAGTAAGTTGTCATACTTACCTACTGAGGCCAGGTTCCTGAAGGTTTCCCGCATCACATCTCTGTAGAGTTTCTTCTGTGAAGGGTCCAGTAAAGCCCACTCCTCCGGGGTGAAGTTCACAGCCACATCCTCAATGGCCACTGAGTCCTAGAACACCCCAAATATGTGTACAATAGAATGCGTGAGACTGACAGCAATGAACATCTATACTGCATTTATATAAAAGTCACATATAATTCTGCCATCTCTAAATATTTATTCTATGACTGATCATCATAACCTTACTCTGTCCATACTTTCTCATAAATTTAACAGCATCGTGAACACAAAGGAATTATTTACACACTTTTACTGTGATCACATAAAATCTTCTCTCTAGTGACAAGGTTCACAGGATGTTGGAGAATAAAAATATGCTATACAAATGAAATAAATATCATTATTTAAGACAATCAATACATTGTGACAAAAATCGTTTCATCTCCTTCCTTATTATCCTCATTACTTCATAAGACAGGGTCAAATCTATATGATGTCAATAAAAAGAGTTAAGAACTAAGAGATTTTTCTTCTGTTTCCCATCATCACACATGAGACTCCAGGAAAGCTGTGGAAATTCAACTTTTAATAAGATCCAGCTGGCTATACTGGCCCTAAAGTACTCTAGCCTTTAGAGCAGTCAGGTGCAACTGGTAGAATGAAAATATTCTTGTTGGAAGTATTGCTTCGAAATTGTTTAGTATTTATCAGATTTTTCCCCTTCTCTCTCTCTATGATTTGATAAGCGAGAAAGTTAACTGAATGTAGATTTCAGATAATAAAAGGCATGAAAACTCAGACTACAAAATCCCTATACTTATGTGCCTCAGAGCTGCTTGGAGCCAATTTTTACTACACATAGGCCCATACAGTGACAAATATACCATAAGAGCACTTAACGGTAGAAACAGAGCACCACCCTGTGCCCTGCAGACCCCAAAGAACAGGCTAACAGCTGCTGACTGCAAGTGCACTCGTTGAAAATCACAATGGTTTGATGGCGAATTTGCCCTTGAGTACAACACAAATGAAAGATCCAGCAGTGCTTTCCTCCAAAACACCATAAAATCTCTATCTTCAAATTGCAGAATGTGTTTCCCATCCAGCCACCCGGAGGCTGCTCTCTTAACTTCTCTAATTCCCAAGCTCCTGTGTGGAGTATAGGAGCATACTTCAACCCATTAAGAATCTTTTAGCTAATGACACCACACATGGCCAAGAGTGTAGGAAGGGTTTTTACGTCTGTGGAGAAAACCAGGCAGGCCTCTCCAGCAGTCATTAAATGGCTTGAGAGAGCAAGGAAGGATACTTGGACTTTTTCGGCTGAGGTTAGGGGGTTAGGGTCGGGGTTTAAACACAAGAGCAGGATTTTAACAGGACCGAATCTCTTGCCACTGCCAATGGAAGGCACACCAAGTCGCTCTTATCACTTTGTACTGATGTAGGTCAAAAGGAAATAAGGAGGAATAAGAATCTAAGGTTGTCAAAATGTCAATCATCAAAGGTTGGGTCAGAGAATTCTGTTTCCTAGTCTAGTATTTAAGGGACTTGGCAACCATTATCCCCAACCTCATAGAAGCAAAAAACAAACAAACAAACAAAAACTTGAAATAAACAACTCTTCTTAGATCCATCGGAACATTCAGGCTACAAGCAAACCACTCTCTACAAAATGGAGAAACAAAAAAATAAAAATAGCATTTTAAAATATGCCCCCAAATTTCTGTCCTTAACTAAGCCTCTACTGAAAGCAGTTTATTTCATCAGAGGCTAATGCAAGGACAAAAAAGAACTAACAAGACAGAACACAATATCAATGAACTGTAGAGCAATGACAGAAGGTTGAAATATACACATGATGGGAATACATAAAGGAAAAGACAGAAAAGAAACAGAAAAAATAACTGAAATAATAATCACTGAAACTTTCTAAAATTAAATATAGATGGAAAATTGTAGATCCAAGAAGCTCAGAAGATACTAAACACACACAAAAAAACATTAAAATGCACACTCAAGTATCTCATGTTCAAACTAGAGAAAAATGAAAGACAAAGAGAATATATTGAAAAAAGGCAAAGGGGGAAGCAAATCCTAGTTATAGAGAAAAAAGATTAGAATTAAACCAGACTTTAGAAATCATGCAAGCAAGAAGAAAATGGAGTGAAATATTTAAAGTTTTAAAAGGAAAAAAATCACTCTTCCTTGTTTTCAAAACCAAAAGCTAGTCCTTTGAAAAAATTAAGTCAATAAAATTGATAAACACCTAATTAAGATATGTGAAAAAAGAGAAAAGACAGAAATTTTTAATATCAGAATTAGTAGACTAGGAAAGGAACATAAAGAAGGACTCGACACCATCCAACATCCATTATAATAAAACACTGGTAATAGAGGGGCTCTATCTCCTCTTGAAAAAACAGCCACGGGACACCTGTAGCTGATTATCGTACTCAATGGTGAGAAACTAGATGGTTTTCTGGTAAGATTAGGAACAGGGCAAGGAGGGATCCTCTCACCACTCATATTCAACACTGTAGTGGAAGCCCTAGCCATGTAATAAGAAAAAGATAGGAAATAAATAATACATGGATTGGGAAGCAAGAAATAAAACTGTCTGTGTTTGCTATGATGTGATTGTCTACGTAAAACATCTGAAAGAACCCACAACAGAGATAATGCCTGGAGTTAATAAGAGTATAGCCAGGTTGAAGGATACACAAGTCAATTGCTTTTCTATCAACCACCACAAAAATACCACCAGTCAACTGATATAGTGAACTGATAATCAATAGAAAAATAAGTCTTTTAAACAAACAGTGCTGGATATAATGAATATTCACATAACACACACACACACACACACACACACACACACACACACACACACACACACACACACACACACACACACACTGAGGTACAGACCGTAACCTCATAACTTAAATAGATCATAAATCTAAATGTAATATGCAAAAGTAAAAAATTCCTAAAAGATAACAGAACATTTTTGTAACTCTGTCTTTAGTGATGATTCTTCTCAGAGAGGATACCAAAAAATAATCCAGCAGGAAAGAAAAAAAAGTTTTACTTTACTAAAATGAAAATCACCTGCTCTGGGAAAATGTTAAGAGAATGAAAAGTTACAGGCTAGCAGAAAATCTGTAAAACACTTTTCTGATAAATGACTAATATCTGAAATATCCAAAAAAAAAAAAAATCTTTTAAAGCCCAAGCATACAGGAAGACAAATAACCTAAATAAAAATAAGCAAAAGGTATAAACAGACAACTCACCAAAGAAAAATACGTATGAGAAATAAGCAATATGAAAACATGTTCAACATATGTCACTGTGTTACAAATAAAAGAGTTATCACTATGTGTCAAAAATTCAAAACACTCAGAACACCAAATATTGGTGCAGATGTGAAACTGCAGGTAGACCTCTTTGTTCTTGATGGGAATGGAACTGGGTATGTCTACATTGGAGACAGGAATTTTCTGTCAAAATTAAATATACTCTTACAACATAATAAGATACAGCAATCATACTCCTTGAAATTGATCTAAATGAATGAGTTTAAACCTTATGTTTACAGAAAAACCTATATATGAATGTTTGTAAGTGTTTCATTCCTAAATGGCAAGAGTTAGTTAAGCAAGATGTCATTCAAGAGTAGAGTGGATAAACACTTGGTGGTAAATCCATATGATGAAATACTATTCAGTGATGGTAAGAAATGAGGCATCAAGCCATGAAAACATATGGAGGAACCTTAAAAGTACATTGCCAAGTAAAAGCCAATCTAACAAGGTTACACATTGTATGATTCCAAGTATAGGACATTCTGGAAAAGACAAAACTATGGGACAATAAGAAGACGTTTGGCTGTGAAAGATTTGAGGTAGGAGGGAGAGATGAAAACAATAGGAGGGGCATAAGGGATTTTCAAATAAAAGAAATTGTATGACAGAAACAAAGGATCCATGGCATTAAACATCTGACAAAACCCACACAGATTCTATAACACAAAAGTCAATGCCAGAGTAGAGTGGATAAACACTTGGTGGTAAATCCATTACAATTGATATTCGATATTACAATAGTTTCAGGTGTGCAGGACAGTGGTTAGACATTTATATAACTTACAAAGTGATACCCACCTTAAGTCCAGTAAATCAAGGCCCCCCCTGCCGCACCATACATAATTATAGTACTACTGACGAAATACCTTATACATGGAGCTATGTATATAGCCCCATGACTATTTTGTAACTGCCAATGTGTACTTCTTAATCCCTTCCCCTTTTTCACTCAGCCCCCCAAATCCTTCCCACCTGGCAACCATCAATTTTTCTGTATCTATGAGTTTGTTTCTGTTTCATTCATTCTGATTTACAGATTCTACATATAAGTGAAATACTATAGTGTAGTGGTTAGCATGTCTGCTTTACATGCAGAAGGTCCTGGGTTTGCGCCCCAGGTGGAGCCACGGACCATACCCCGGGTGCACTGGGCTCCGGGTGCATTGGCCCCCCGAGTGTGCCGGGTGCTCCAGGACCCGGCTACACGCCATGAGCATGTGGGAGGAGACGTCCTGCCTTCAGAGATCCAGTTCTTAAGGGAAAATGGCAACAACCATAGGTCAGGGTTGGAATTGGGGGGAAGGGATTAAAGAGGCAGGGAAAAAAGTCAATCCCATTGTAAACTGTGTATTCTTATTTATTTTTTTTATTTTTAAATTACAATTGATATTCGATATTACAACAGTTTCAGGTGTGCAGGACAGTGGTTAGACATTTATATAACTTATTTCCTTCGGTCCTAACTAGCTGAATAACTTGAGAAGTGCAACCCTATGAATAGCCCCAAACAGTAAGTCAATTCCAAACAAGCCCAGGTGTACGGCAGCCACAGATCAACTCGCAGAGGCTGCTCCTAACGAACCCGCCTGAAGGCCCCCTGGAATGAGGGTCAGCCCCCCAAACCCTTCCCACCTGGCAACCATCAATTTTTCTGTATCTATGAGTTTGTTTGTTTCATTCATTCTGATTTACAGATTCTACATATAAGTGAAATAATAAGGTATTTGTCTTTCTCTGACT